TCCGGGCAGAGGGAAGAGCTATTGGGTAGGCAGTTGGCAAGCAACAGCATAAACCGGAAATCCTTTCCAACTCGCATATGGCACGCAAAAAGCAAAGGCCCTGCTGAATGGGTGGTTCGAGGTGGTTCGGGTAGTTGTCGGCTGTCGGTGCCATGGAAAATTGCCGCTTTTAATATTAGCTCTTATTTGCAATTGTTGCTGTTGCTGCTGCTGTTGCTGTTGCTTGTGCGCTGGCTTTGTAATAATGCCGTGCGCATGTAATAGGAGCCAGGTGCCAGTGCGCCGAGTCGCCTACATGATATTTATATATTCCCCATTGCTGCAATCATTTCAAACTGCAATCGCCCTAGCAAGCCCGCCTGCCCCCTCCCGACTGCGCTGTCATCTGCCACAATTTGTAGGCTGTTATTAACCGACATCGCTCGATACGGCCTTTCAAATTTTAATGGCATGACACAAAGCAATGCACGGCCAATTTATCCAAACGCCGAGCTCGACTCGTTTCGTTTCCATTATTTGTGCATTCGCATTTCCCCAGTTTATTTGTTGTTTTAATAACATATTGCAAACATTTTAATTCTAATGCCCCGATGCGCCTGTATTGGTGAGCTTTCAGAACTCTAGCCGCAGACAAAAGCTTTTCGGCCCGTGTGACTCATGCGTGTGTGAAAGCTGCTTGCGAAATCAAAGAGTCGCAGAAATCACACGCAAGCCGAAGGCATTTGCTTGCTTATCAGATATTGACACTTTCTTTCACTATTGCGCTTTATTATTTATCGAAGTATATATATCTATATCGTTGGGTCTAGAGCTAATTAGTTGCAAGAACTTTAAGGCTATAAGCCAGAGCCTTTAGAAGCTGTCAAATCGGGTCTGTTGCAGAGCCCTAAAAAAGGGGTGCATGGCCAGACTTATTGGCAGCAGCAGCAGTCAGCTGAAGTTGGTAAACAGTAAACGGTAAACGGTAAACGGTAAACGATAAACGGTAAACGGTAAACAGTAAACAGTTTCTTTATACTTTGGTCGCCGAGTTTCGTGTTTGTTTTTTTACACTTTATGATGCAAATTGAGTGTGTGCAGCTATCTTATCGCGGCGATATGCCATAAAATAGATGTTTTTATTTTATAACCGTACAGCAACTTTTGAAAAGCAAAACGCGCACTTGACAAAACGATATTCCTATACTTATATATATATATATATAAATATATATGCGAGTTATATAGTCATGCCCCGTTGTGAGACTGCAAGTGAGTTCATTGTCATCAAGGTCGTACGACTGCGACTGCGACGTCGACTGCGACTTGTCAGTTAAGTGTTAACAAATAAATATACATATAGTCTATATAGTCTATATATACAACAGATTATAGATTCATATTTGGCACTGCACTGCACTGCGGTCGGCCTTGGGATAGAGGCGCGTGCTGACTGATAAGGCAACCGCTGAAAATTTAACCGGTCAAAACAAATTACATTTGTTTCCGAGTTCAATGAACCCGACGGCAAGTTGCAGATTGCATTATATTGTAGTTAAGTGCGTTAATATGTTAATTAAATTTAGTTTCATTAAAAAGCATATCAACTGTTGCGAATTGCCATACATACGTTGCTGCTGCTCGTCTTGCTGTTTTTATTGTCAAAAGTCAATGCACTGACAGCCGAGGAAATGGATTCGCAACAACAACGCGGGCAGCGACTCAGCGAGCGAGCGAAAGTCGCAACAATTGAAACCGAAATACAGCAACAGCAACAACAACAACAACAACAACAACAAGAGCGAGCAATGTTCAGCATAGGCCACCCTGCGATCTATGAGCAATCGCATATCAAAAGAAAAGACTGTGAAACGCTGCTTGGATTTCAGTTTTCAAATTCCCTGTGCAAAGATCATTTACAACTCGTTGCTTAGTCACGTTTTCAAGACGCATGCAATCAACAAACAAATCAAAAGCAAAATCAAATGTCAATTACCAAGGCAAATGACGCATGGATGGAATTAATGCAGAACTAAAGCCATTTCTTATAGAGTGCAGCTCCGCTAGTCGTCGTATTATGTGAGTGCCAAGTTATGCACAATGGAATGCCCTAAGCCGTTAGCCACAATGACCTTCAAAGTCTAGACGTATTTGACAATTTTACATACCTAAATACAAACATCAAACAACACGCACACACACACAGACATAAATATTATAAAAAAAGCAAGCCGAGGCGAAACGAGTCGAACTTATTGAGTTTATTCAACTTAGAACGCGGCGAGCTGCGAACTCTGATACCCCAAGCCCTGGTACATTGGCACAGTCAAGAGGCTGGCAAGAGCGAGCGAGAAGCTGCTGCGTGTGTGTGTGCGAGCGACATGCCCTAATGAAATTTACTGCCACACGCTTTTCCAGCAGCCGAAAAGTGGGCAAAAAAAGAAAAACTTTTCACCAGGGCTTCCATTTTTATGGCTAAGCGGCAATTAGTGTTAGCCAGATAAGCGAATGAGCCATAAAAAAAGGAAACTAGGGCGCTAAAAGAGCACTACGTTTAAATGAATTAAAAGATATTGGCCTTTCTCGACAGCAGAGGGCTTACTTACTTTGGCCAGCAGCTAAAATGTGAAAGCTTTAACTCATATCTGGCAAAGTTTGGTCGCCCTTGTCTAGCTTTAAGCCGCCTTCACTCACTCAGCCTCTGGCTCTGGCTCTGGCTCTGGCTCTGGCTCTGGCTCTGCCTTTATTTCTGTCACTGCCCCTGCCCCTGACTCTGCTAATCCAATCCCATTTCCTAATGTTATTCAATTAAGCAGTGCTTGAAACAGAGAGCTTTTTCATCTGCAGACGGCGGCGGCAATCCTTTCCAATTGGGAGGCATTAGAGTACTTGGCTAATGTCTATCCACCTAGCCGTCTTTTCGGTATCTCTATTCTTTATGATTAAACATTTAACTTTTTGCGCTCGATGCGTGCCAACGACACAATAAAATGCCAAAAGGCAGCCAAACAAGTCCAAAGCGCAAAATATCCTTGAAACGGGGCATTCGCACGCACACGATGCGATGCCAGGCGACGCGACGCGACGCGACTTTGGCTGCCAAAAACACAGACGACGGCGACGGCGACTACGACTACGCTAACGCAGCTCTTGCCTGCCTCAAAGCCATAAAATCCCCACGACAATGACAACAACAACACGAACGCCATAGTAAAGCAAAAGAATAACAAAACGTAGCCAAAAGCTGTTCGTAGCAGCAGAAGTTGGCCAGGGGGAATGGCCAACAATAAGTGCGTGAGGCTCTCGAGCAATGACTCCTTATACGCAGCTGCCTCTTGGCTCTGCTCGCCCGCCCTCTGCGTTCCACTCATGGCAAATAAGTATCTCTTACCGGCGAGCCACCCGAATCAGCAGCCTCCAAATGGCCAGTGTCAATGGCATTCAAGCTGTGCCGAGAGCCCAGCCACAGGCCGGAGCCGTGTAAAAGGTTATTGGACCATCATCATCAGCATTAGCATCATCATCATCGTCATTGTAGTTGCTGCTGCTGCTGCCGCTGCTGTGCCATATTTTTAGCCTACTTTGCGGCGCAGGATGCCGGCTGAATGGGTTTCGACTTTTCAACTGCGTGCATCTACGTGTGTGTGTGGGAGTGTGCGTGCTTGTGCGTGTGTGTGCGTGGGCAGAGTATGTTTAAAGGTCAATTATCTCAGCGCACGCTTAGTCGACCCATTCAGCCATTCCAGCCAACCATTCATCCATCAAGTCTGACAGCCGCACGCTGTGACGCCCACAAATATGCAACAGTCTGCTAATGATGACTAATTTCGCACAGTGCAATCAGCGCGAAACGTCTTTAATAACAATTAAAAAGAAGAAGCAGCAGCAGCTAGAGCACAAAAGGTAGGGAGATATGAAAGCGGGCAAGACGCTTTAATCAAAAGTCGAAGCCTTTGCACTGCCAGTCATTCAACTTTTGATTAATTGCGCGTACATGACAAATTGCTGGCTGCTGCTGCACGCGTCCAGCTACCCGCAAATTGTTTTTCGAGCAGAGGGGGATTTTTTAATTTGTCCCAAGCGACGTTTTTGCTAATTAACCAAAATTTATTGTCGACTCATGACTTTGAGACAATTGCGCGCGCTCTCTCTCTCTCTCTCTCATACAGAGTGTATCTCCCATATTTGCTGGATTTAAGTCATTCATTAATATTAGGAAAATAGTCAATTAAAAGCTTTTTCCACGAATACCAAAAAAAGAAAAAGTGGTTAAACCCAATGTGCCCTGCAGTCGCGACATGCAATGCCGTTGCGGGCTTTACAGGGTGTCCGTAATTGTGCACAATTAACATGGCAATTAGACGAAATGCAAAACAAGTCGCTGCGAAATCATGTCAATGCCTGGCATTTGCTGTAAATGAGCGTCGACATGAAATGTCAAAGAAGTATTTGAACATCTAGATCTGAGCTGAAGAAAGCAGGCTCAAGCCACTGCGACTGCTCAGCTAGCAGCTACCCTCGCCTCAAACTGAGTCTGCAAAGTACCACAGTGGCTGCCAAAAGTAAGCTGACCCCGCCAAGCTCCTCGCCTTTTTAGGGTAGCAGCAACAGAACAAGCGATACGAATCACTGTGCGCTATGCATATTTATAGGCACAGTATTCCAATTGGTTTGCGCACGAAAGTCGGCAAACTATTTGACCCCGACATGGTAAACTTGGGAACGAGGCTATCTCTCTGCCACATGCGACATGCAACACACACAGACCCACACACACACATACACAGCAAGAGCTGGGGTGCCGCAGTTTGTGCCAGTTTATGACATCGCGCAGCGGCGCGAATGTGTCAGGCCAAATTGCCAATGCCAAATCGAATTCATGGCAAATCGAAAGCAGAAATCGATTTGATTGCCTTAAAACAATCAAAGTGGTGTAGCGTGTCGTTCGCTTTACGCGGAAATCGCTTAAAGTTTATGCAAATTGTTGTTAACCAATTTCCTTAACTTGTTTGTCTTTACAGGTGAGTGGTTGCCACACCGCATTGGCACACTGCTCGGCATCCCGACACTGCCAATTGCCAAATGCCGTAAGTATGCCTAGCCTCCATTTATATACAGCAACGCTGTGCTTTGTCTTGTCTCTGCCTCTGCGTCGCAATTGAAGTCAAATCAAAATTGCAAATAACATTTTAAAGCCAGCCCAAGAAACAGCAACAGCAACAACTGACAGCAAACATTTAACGCCAAAGGCTAACGCAGCAAACAACACAAACAAAATGCTCAAATGCCTTTTCGTTGTCTACACTTTAGTTTGCCAGTGGGCGTGGCTCTGACGCCCACCTTGCCATAACAAAGTTAGCCATAAAAAAATCCGTAGCTCGACTAACGCAAATCGTCCATTGAGCAAAAAGCCAATTTGATTTCAATGCTTTTTTCTCTTGTTTTCCTCGATACATTTTTTTTTGGGAGTTTTTGTTTTTTTTTTATTAGTTTTTTTGTTAGTTTTTGGGCTTCAGGTTGTGTTGTCGTATCCCGGGCTATACGGACTATGGTCTGTGATTACGAAGTTATTCAAATGAAATATGTGCGCTGGCCCATTACATCATCGGGCCGGACTACTGCATTTTTCTTTTCTTGATTGCGCTGAAGCAACAAAGAAGCAGAGCCAGAAATACATGAGGAAATTTCTTTGGCCGAAAACTGAAAAATTTATGAAAATTATTTTGGCTCTCCTTTCTCTCCTCTGCTTCACTATTCACTTTCGCCGAAAATGTTGTCGAAACGATTTAGCCCGAAGCCGCTGGCCCACGGCCATTTGCGTCCAGCCAAGTTGTATTATTATTGTTGGCCTTCTTTCCTACTTGGCTATGACATCGTTTTTCTGCTTAACTTATTTGCATTTTATCTGTTCTGTGTCTTTCAAATAACAATTGTCATTTCATCAATGCAAATGTTGTCCGCTAGCCGTTTTAATTCGCTTCAATTCTCTTTCAGCCGAGTCGCCGAAGTTGAGAGAAACGTTTATTTCTTTGGAAAGTCTTTAAGTTAATCAAATGTTCGGCTTTATGCCGAGGCAAGCTTTAATGTGATTTTCCCTACTTTCTGATTGAATAAAACTCCGTCTTAATGCGCTTTTGATACACAAGAGAAAACTCAGTCCAAAAATAAAAACGATTTAACTGTAATATGCACCCCGGGCAAATTGTCTTACAAATAACTTCGCTTGGCTCGCGCTGCCGCGCCACGATATTATCATTCGAGTATCGTATTACGATTTATGTCGAAAACCGCAAGTAAAGAGAATTAATTAAGAAACGCGACGTCTTAAATTACAAATGAAACAACCAACAAAACCGCCCAGCGGGTGGTCAAAGAAATAATGGACCTGGCGAAGGGACGAAACTATTAAAGCTTCCAGTCAAAGGCGAACCAAAGGCAAAGGCAAAGGCTGCTCAGGCAATGGAGCAGTTTATTAAAATGATTTAAGCTGGTTAAATGCAAAAATATTATTAAAACCTATTTGCAGAGGGCAAAATTCTAAGCAAACGACAATTTCGAGCATTGTTTGCTTTTCACTTGAACTCCTTTGCGAGCTAACTGCCTGGCTGACTGGCTCGTTGGCATTGTTTAGAGTCAATAGTGAAGCTGAGAGGGAGAACAACAACAATGAGTGGAGGAAAAAATTCTAATTAAAAATCATCCGGTATTTGGCATTTTATCTAAACAGGAAGAGCTGGAGTCATAGACTCTTCGCTGACAGACGAGGCAAGCGAAGTCGAAGCACAGGAGCAGAAACACATAATGAAAAGCCAGCAGGAAAATGGGGGAAAAAAACTGTGCTGGCGACACTTTCGCTGGAGCCAAGTTCTAACTGCGGCAGTCTGCATAAAAAACATAATGAAAAAGCTGCAAATTGGGTCAGCAGAGAAGAAATTAAAAAAGCAGACAAGAAAAAAGAGATGAGAACTTTCAACATGGCCTGTTATCATTTGCAATTAAGCGCGTCGACACTCGCTTGGCCAAAAAGTTCAGAGGAGCGGCAAAAAGAGCCAAAGCGTTGAGTGCAAAGTTTTTAGCAAAGCAGCCAAAAAATATCTTAATACTCCGCAGCTAACAAATTGTTTGGTTAGCAGCTGCTGTGGTGGGGGGAGCGCAGCTGGCTTATGGCATCCGAGTTGCAAACGCCGTGGAATTTTAGAAATTGAATATTTAAATCCCAGTCTAAATCCCGACTAGCGCCAAATTGAAAAGGGTTTCGGTAACCCACGACGCAGCCCCATGAAATATGCAACGAAATAAAAGGAAAAACAAAACATGGGAATGAAAATGATGTTCAAACTCACGCAAAGATCTAGCTTGTGGCAAACATTTTTCCGGAATTCCAATCAAATTTAGCTACAAATATTGCTTTACTTGAGTTTGAAATTCAATTCATGCGTCTGGCTGCGCTTGTGAACTTCTGCAGCTCATAACCATGTGGCTTTGCTATGGCTTCTTGTTTATGCAACTGCCACAAGTTTTTCACTTTGCCAACTCCTTGCAACTGCTTCAATATTAGTTTTGAATATCCAAACTGTGCATTAATTATGCCTTTGTACTTTTGCACAGCGCCGAGTCGCTCTCAACTTTGTTAATATGCGCCTAATAACCTTGAGTCCAACTGCGACACAGCCTGGCCAAAAGCTGACGCTTTCAAAAACCTCTAATTTGCAGGTCATAAGCGGCTTACAGTCGCTGCTGCCTTGAGCGCACATCAAATGGCACACACGCACACCTACGCACAGGTGCACTTTTAAAGTCACAGCGAGCCGCCATTGTAGGTCCAGTGGGTGTGTTATAAACCGCTTTTAGCGCCTGCTGGTAATCCCCGCAAAATGGCAGCCATCGAGCTCTACCAATATTTGCCTCGGCGCACCTATCGAGTTCATCTATAAATGCCCAAAAGTTGATCATCTTTTCTGTTTTTCCTATTTTTTTTTGCCTGTCCCCAAAATATTCCCTTTGCCATGTGGCTTGGTAAATGATTTTCTTCTTTTAACATTGCGGCTGACATTTTGTTGCTGTTGTTGGTTGTTGGTTGTTGGTTTTCAGTTTGGTTTAGTTTTCGGCTCTTTTTCCATTATTTTTTATTCCTTTTCACTTTGCACAGTTTGGGGAATTATTATTTGGCCATTTGAACGTTAGGTTGCGTCTCGACACGTGTCGCCTGTGCCCAGGTCTGCCACGACTCGTACATCAAGTGACTTTTCTGTCAGTTTATGTGTTGCCTTCATCGCAGCTAAATTGAAATGTGTCCCAAGGGTCGGAGTGGAAGCACAGCGAGCACTCTTAACATTTTGTTGGACAATTTGTGAAGAATTTTTAGTCACTTTCAAGGGTTAAGTCCGAAATGTTAAAGCTTAAAGTGCCTCACCTAGCTGTTGGCGTGCCCCAAAAAGTATGCTTTAAAAATTGACACAGCATAAACATGAGCAGCACTTGAAGCGCACATAAGCTTATGAGGCACTGTACATAGACAAGTTTAAGCATACATACATACATATGTATATTTGCCCCCTATGTACAGATATATAGTTTCGCTTGACGCTTGACCTGGTTTACTTTTGCGATAGCATACACTGTGCAAAAACGGAAAGGCCTTGTGCTGCTGCTGCTGCTCTCTTTGATAAGTAAACATATCTTGGTTCACGTACAGTCACTGCAATATGTATGCGCACTCGCCCAGTTGAGCCAGGCCTTGATGCTGGCTTTTTGGGTACAGTCTGTGGCAAGGTCGAAGGCAGCCGCGAAGCCTTGTGCCATATCAGATGCGCAGCAAAAACAAAAGTTAAGCAACTCGCAACTGGCAACTGGCAACTGGCAACTGGCAACTGCTCCTCGTACATGTATATTTCGTCAATTGTGTGACAAAAGTGACCTAGTTACGCTGCTTGGCTTGTTGGCTGGCTGTTCGTTCGTTCGTTCGCTTGCATTCTGGGTCAGCATGCGGGTCAACTGCCAGCGCAGGCATCTATGCCCCTATAAGACTGGCCCGCAGTCAGAGCTTAATTGAAATAGATGAGCTGTCGTCGAGCTGCCCCCCACACACACAGATAGTTTAGTTACTTTGGTACAGTTATGCACGACAGTTGTTGACCGTGGCCCTATCTGTTAGCTGAATCCTCATAAATGTCGCTGTCGGTTGGGTCTCGCTGCTGTCACAATTTCATATTTATTATAAGCCAATTACTTGCCGCCCGGACAGAGCAGCGAGAGAGAGGGGGAGTGAGGCACCCAGTGGGGTCTTTAAAGTGCTATCAAAACCGCAAACGAACTGCCGCCCAGCTGCCCACTGTGCGCATTGATTAAGCCAGGCCAACAGACAACTCGTGTTATGTATACTGACTACAGTTGACGGGGCACAGGACCCAATTCAAGCTCCATTTAGCAATTACCGCAGCAATAAAAGTCAATGGCGGATGCACACACATAGACAGAGACACACACACACACACACGCACGCATACACAAATTTTATTATCATCAAGCCACAAAATTTACGTGTGTCAAATAATAATTTCGTCTTGCTTATCTCGTAAACCCTTTTTTAGTTGAAAGTGTTGACAAAAATTTACATTTCCACAATTTACGCAAATTTTTATGTCATAATTGGATTTCAGCCATTGTTGGCAGCTACTCCTCCCGTCGTCGGGCTGGAGATGTGACAATGGCGTTGATAATCAGAACAGTTTTTGGTTCGAGGCTCTTTGCCAGTGCCTCAGCCTCAGCCTCAGCCTCAGCCTCAGCCTGAGCCAGTGACTGCTCCATTAACTTGCCAAGGGGCTGGGACACTACCCTTGGCTTGCCACGTTTCTGGCTGCTTGTAATTCGAGCCTTTTCCTCTGATAAGCCATTTTATGTGCATGTGGCTCGGGCTGGAAAATGTCACTAGAGCCGGGGCAGCTCGGCTTCATGTTGTGGTAAATTGAGCCCTGCCGGATATTGTCGAGGCACACACAGCAGACATTTGACGGCCACTGTACACTGCGCAGTGGACGCAGGTGCTGTACTTTTCAATATTTAATTTATCAGCCTCAGGCAGCGTATA